CGTCGAGGGGAAGGTTGCCTCTTAGTTTTTCCCCTAAACGGGGGAGACGCCAGGAGGCTGCCGAATTTTGGATCGAATATCCAAGGACTTAGAACAAACAGTGGACTTTATTTGGGACTCGAAAGAACTTAACTTGGGCATAATTTGAGACAAAATCAAGCTTAACTTAAAACTTAATCAAGTGATGTTGTAAGGAATGAGAACTCGATTGAACTCATTTTGAACTCGAACTTGAACTAAAATGAGTTGAACAAAGAACAACTTGGACAAATGATGAAGGACTTGTGTAAGACTTGAGTCGGACTCAAGCTGAACTGAACTCGAACTGGGACTCTACAAGACCACAAGGGACTTGTATTGGTATTTGAACTTGGACAACATAACAAATGACTATACTAGGGCTTGGACTCAAGCCATAATTTGATATTGAACTTAAAGGGAATATGAATATAATCAAATCCTATGGCATGATGTGATGTTCTTAATAGATAACACAACTTATTTGCAAAGATGAATTGATAAGAGCTCTGCTCATACACTACGAGCTCTTTTAGTGACAACAAAAGACCTACTACACATACAACGTTCCATTTACAAGCAACCATAAGAAACCTGTGAACACTCATGGATGGCTTTAGGCGACAACGAAGATCCATGAACCCACATCATTTATTAAAATCCAAGCAATTCATAAACAAGTGCAAGTTGGAATGTGGTCCTCTCACAATCAATGCAAGTTGACATAAAGTGATAACAAATTCACTTACAAATCATATAGTGGCATAACAAAAGATATGTTGTTTATACAATGGGTCATTTGTGAGTGATAATCAAGATATGCAATGAACACAATGGTGTTCATATTGTTAACTTCAACTTACAAAGTCGGTGAACACAACCTGCAAGCAGAAGACAACACACCTGTGGCACATGTGAAGTCCTACGAATTGTCGTAGGAGATCGGTCATACAAACAACATCTAGCCTACGAGTAGAAAGAAAAGTTTGTAATGACTATCAGGAAAATACAACGAATATCACTCATCTTATAATCTACATCAGCATATAGATGAATATATCAACATGCCTACAATCAGAGCCATTCATTAGTCAATATGTATGAAGGAACTGGTGATGGATACAATTCGCCCGGCAGTTTATGGTATCTAACGTCGCAATATCCATGCAACATCAACTAGCTAGTGAAGGAAAGATAAAAATCCCTTACAAACAACTATGGGATACTTGTTATCATTCATGAACGATAATGGCATGCATCCAAATAAACATCAACGAATAGAACTTGGACCTAAACTTGATATGAGGAAAAGAAACTTTGCTTGGATGCAAATAATAAGGTTTGATATTGAATTGAGTGACATTGTTTGGGATTTGAATAAAGAACTTCAAGCATAATTTGCTTACAAACAACGCTCTCAACACGAAGTCAACGATAGTGAAAATACTACAGATCATAGTAAAAGCAACAAAAAGATTCGAACATACAAGCTCCTATGAGCTGTTATAGAAAATTCGTTGTATACAAAATACACTATCTGCAAGCAAATATGAAACAACTACAACGAATGTAAGCATCAACAAACACCAGGCAGGAGATTAGTTAGTGCACTACGACCCACATACAGAAAGCAACATGTAGTGCACGACAGTCTACCTGTACAAAGCAGCAAACAGCACAATCCAGAAGCTGTTATGCCACGCCACCGGATTTGCAACATTCGTACAAGCAGACAGAAGGCGTCTGTTTCAAAATACATCTACACGTGCACTGTAATTTGTATACACATAGGTACACAAAAAGGGGTAAATAAAATCTCAACCCGCAAGGGCCCCGGTGAGCGTGTTATTGGTACACACGTGACCTCTAGAGATGCTGCGCGGGTTAACAAATTTTAAACCCGATCTTCCTTAGCAAGTAAAAAGGAGTCGACAGGGTTTAATTATAAAATACCCCCAAACCAGCATGGGCCGCGGCGAGCGTGTTATTGGTACACACGTGACGTCCAGGGATGCTGCGCGGGTTGACAAGTGAATTCAGGTTCGAAACCGATCCTTCTATACAAGTCAATAGAAATCGACAGGGTTCGAACCAACAAATAAACATACGGTTGTGGCGACCGTCATATTTGTCTTAATACATTCATATTAGGCCTTCAAGGCCTATAACAATGAGAATTCACTATCAAGAGCATAAAGCCTACGAGAAACCCGATCCTCGGTCAACAGCTTGGCCGAGTCGACAAGGTTCAAACTACAAATAAAAATGACCCCAAACACCCCGATGATGGCCGTGTTGATTTCTTATCTCAACCAGAGGGGTTCACAAATATTTTTCAAATGTCATTCCAAATACTCAAAATTCCATCCAAATTCCCACAAAAATCCAAAAAATTCTCAAAAATCCCAAAAATCTACTCAAAGTCCAAAATGCCACAAATCCTAAAATTCAAAATATCTAAAATTGAAATAAACTATCAACCGCTTAAAGCAAAATCCATCCACCCTCCGCAACAGTTTGCCGAGGTGGACAAATTTAAAACTACTTCAGCTCACAAAGAGCCAAATGCCTAGTCGAAAATATCACAATGATCCATTCTCAAACAATCTCTTGCCAGTAAGGACGTGGTACGTATCCTCTAACCGGCAGTTTCGCCGCCAAATGGCACTGTAGGTAAACGGTTATGACCCGTAGCCCTCTGAACCGAGTGATTTTGCCGCCAAATGGCACCACAGATAGCGGTTATGGTCAGAGCCAATACGCTCCTTAGTGGCGTTAAATCCTTGAGATATGAATCAATAGGATATGATTGATAGGGCAGTAGGCACAAAGCCAATACGCTTCTTCTGGGTGTGAGCGAAACTGGAGTACATATAGCCAAGTGCAAACAAAGAGAAGAAATCGGCTATCAACACTCAGAATGAACTCTCTCGTATATATTATGCACAACAAGAGGTTGAGAGAGAGGAGGTTGAGGAATAAGGGGTTGAAGGATGATGACAACCTATCGAAAGTTCTCTCTCGTGATCGGGAGGGGTAATTAATTATAGGGGCTTGCGGCTATAGGAAACCAGAACTCAGATCATAAAGTCCTCACAAAATGAGGGCGAAATCTCTGGGTAGTGTCTTATCTACAAACCCATCTGCCATCCAAAATTTACCTCGGAACTTAATCAGTCAAAACTCCCTCGCCGAATAAAAAGAAAAGCGAGCGGAGGCCGGGGTCGAATTTTCGGAGCCCACATCCTTGTTTACTTTAATTATTGTCTTGGTTGTCTCTTAATTATTCGGACTTATGAGTTTCTTTTGAAGTCCGGAAATTTATATGCTTATAAAAGGAGGCCTTCTCTTAGTTAGAAGGCAGACTTTGTATCAGCAATGTTTGAAGCTTAAATAAAATACTAGTTTGAAGAATCTTTCTGTAAGTGGTTAAAGTTCTAAATTCTCTTACTTTAAGTTTTTCGTTAAGTTCTCTTACTTTAAGCATTTATTTTGGTAGTGATTTACTTTAGTAACATCTTTTTATCACTCCTAATAACATGTCATTAACATAAATTGCTAAGATAACACAATAAGATGACTTAAGTATGATAAAGATGAAGTTATATGTTGTTCTACCGTGATTATCAACCCCAGCAAAAATTTCACAATATTTATTAAACTGAGATTATAGGATTTGCTTAAGCCCATATATGTCTGTGCTGGGCTTGCATATTCTTATTCCCCTTGAACAATATACCCAGTTGTTGCTCTGTACAAGCAACTTCGCTAATATCACAATAAAGGAAAGCATTACTCACATAAATTTGCAGCAAAGGACATCCTTAATTAATGATGATAAAAAAATTGAAAAAAGTGTCAGAGTAGTCAATTCTATTGCTTAAATAAAATATTTGGCAATTAGGTAGGCCTTGCATCTATCAACGAAGCTGTTATGATGAAACTCGAATGTGTAAATCCATTGAAATGAGAGTGATTTACTCTGAGAAGGGTAACCAGATCTTATGCATACCGATTAAAACAACTATTTCAATTTCCATAGTTTGCTTTCATCAAATTTCCTACAGTGCTCCAAGTATGTCTTGGGAATAGAAACATATAACACAAAATACAATAAGCTTGAGAAATGATGTTCAAAGTGTACACTCAGAAATGCCTTCAAAGGTGTTTAAAAGGTATCTCCCGATAAGTTAGAAGTGAGTGTGGGCAGGAGAGAATTAGGTGTAAGTAGGCGAAGTTTAGCACTACGTGTTTGTGAAAGAAACAACAGAGGGAAGAGTGGCATCTGAGTGTTAGCATTAACCCTGCTCTGTTATCACATTAAAGAAAAATCACTTGTATATTTTTGTCTAATTATGGATACCCATATATAAGCATACAAAACAAATACAAAAAGAAAATAATAAAGAGGAGAATGCCCACAATTATGAGGAGATAAATTAGTAATAAAACATATCTGCTAATCAATATTTTATTCAAGCACTTTCCATTAGTGCGGAATGGAGCCAATCCCAACCAATCATATATTTTTTTTATCCAATCCCTAGGAATCAATTAGAAAGGCAAATCCCCTGTGATACATCAGATCTAACTCGGTTATTGGAGTGAATAGATTCACCATTTATGGAATCTCTCTTCTGATTCAAAAAAATCGTGACATAACGTATATCCCCCTTTGTTCTGGTCATGAAATAGATGAAAAAAATCAAAGCTCAGCAACTTTGGGTTGGCAAAATATATTAGTGATTTGAGACATCTAGGTTTGCCGGCAAATTTGTTTATTGATGCAGGTAGATTAAAAAAGTTTAAATTTCATTTTAGCATTAATTTCATAGTCATAATTTTGAAAATTATTTTGCTTCAGCTATTTCGTATGAAAGCATGGTTTGGAAAATATCTTCAAAATGTTCAAATAGGTCTTGGATTACTATTCTGAAAGAACTGAAAAAAATATTTTAGCGTAATACGATACAATAAATTACCAGGAGTTCCACGAATATCAGTGTTCACTGGTTCAAAACTAATCGTTCCATTTCTTGAAGCATGTGCAAGACCAAAATCTGCAACCTATACAGCAGAAGGTTGTCAAGGTACATCACACTAATTAATAACAATATGAAATATCAACATAAGCAAGTAACCTTGTTTACCTTTGCCACAAAATTTCCATCCAAAAGAATATTGCTTGACTTTATGTCTCGGTGACAAAGAGGAGGATTGCAATAGAAATGGAGGTACTCCTGCATTATAATTTACTATTTTGGACTAAGTGCTAATTAAAAAAAACGGGAAGTGGACGCAAAATAGCCAATATTTCCTTATTGCCTTAATTAATAAAACATAGCATAAATTCTTAATTTGAAAAATGGATTGAATCTTAAATAACATAATAGCATAGAATAAAAGATGCATAATGCATACTATTTATGTAACTTAGAATTGATTTGCAATGCATATAGTTAGATTTTACCAATGCATTGGCAACATCGACAGCAATTTGTAATCTAGCAGGCCAACTTAAAGAAGCTTTCCTTGGAGCTGCAAGATATATAGTTTCCAACACTAGACATAAATCAATGTGATTTGCAATAAAAACCAAAGAAATTGTAACAAGCCATGAATGACACTATATTACCATGAAGATGATCCTTCAAGCATCCGTTTTCCATGTATTCATACACGAGAAACCTTTATAAGAGAATAGCATAATAAGGAAAAAAAAATTAATAAAATGCATAGTTTCTACAAGCTCCTCAAAACGCCAACTGAAAGAAGAGTAGGAATTACAGCAATACCTCTCATTTCTATCTATGCAAAAGCCTCTGAGAGCAACAAGATGGCGATGATGCAACCGAGCAAGAAGTTCCATTTCTCGGCAAAACTCCACCTCACCTTGCTTGGATATTTTGTTCATCCGCTTCACAGCACCTATGGTCCCATCACTGAACTGGGCTTTGTAGACGGTTCCAAAACCACCTTTTCCTATGATGGTGCTCAAATTATCTGTTGCCTTCATTGTCTCTTTGTAGCTAAACCGTTGGAACATGAGAGATGGGCCTACAAAATAAAAGATTTGATTGACACAAAGATGAAGTTAAAGATCCCTAAACATATAACAAACTTGTATCCACATAGGCAATTCATGATGTGGGCACTTCAAAAGGTTCTTCAAATATTTCATGATAAAGCTGAATACTACCGAGTCAGCCCTCACGGCCTTAAGCCGTCTCTAAAATAAATGCATTGCCACAACAACATATGTCTTAAATGATAAAAAACCACGTAACTGAACAAAAGTTGTGATAAATAAACTTAATCAAGAGAAATCTAAGTTGAAGACAGGAAAAAAAAAAAAGAACCACAAATAAAAGGGTTCATTAAAACCCATTTAGCATCCAACACAATTGTAAAGAAACTAAGCTACCAAGGAATGATAGTGGTCCAGGTGAACAATTGCGCGCAATAACTCAATAACAAAAAAGGTTTAAGTTCATGTTTATTTTTTCAATAGATGCTATCAGTTTTGATATGCACCGGACAAATTACTAGTTCTTGGTTAGCATTGACAGTTTGATCAAGAGCACAAAACTTCATGCTTCTGCCATCTCAACAAAATTGTACTCCAAAATCAGCACCACCGCCTCAAAAATGTGATAACTCTTCAGTCAAACAAAAAAAAATCCTGAGACTTCAATTGGGATATGATAATTCAAATCTTATTCATCTCCAATATTAATCTAATAATTTCAAAGCCCAAAGCTTCAAACTATTCCATCACCCCCAAAGATATGATTTGGGGGTGGTAATCTCATTTGTATTTTTTAATTTTTACATCATCACTAACTTTTAAATTGCTTAGCATAGATATTCATCTGTTATCAATTAATCTGTTTAATATGCATAAAAGGTAACATAATAAGTAATAGTCAATCTCTATGAGCCTAAATAAATAATATTTTCTATCAAATAATTTGATGAATTTATCTAATTAAAAATAGCTTGAATTCATTAAAATAATATCTACTTACATGTATATAGCCGCTCAATGAAATTATAGAAATTAATGAATATTAGCCCAAAGAATAATTTGACCCTGATATTAGAGATCAAATATCTCACATGAATAATAGGATCTTCATCGGGATGAATATCCAGATTTATATCACCATGATATCTTATACTTTCATAAGCAACCTAATAATCACAATTTTTTAATTTAAGATGAATTTTTAATTTGTCGCATCAAAGCTAAATAAATTAAAATTAAGTAATATTCTTACCTCAACTTGATTTCTTCTCATTTAAGCCTTCAACCCTATAAACTCGAATACTCAATTTGTAGAAAGAAACATTAAAATAGTATTCTTAGTAAAAATCTTTAATTATCCTTCCCCTTATCTTTCATTTCCTTCCACTCTTTACTTCTTCTCCACTTCTTTTCCCTTGTCTCCTCCTCCTTTTTCTTCTTCTCCTCTGCCTCTTTTTTTCCCCTCCTTTTTTGTAAGAATCGGTCTGGCCGGTTCACTTGAACCGGCCAATTATTAAAATAGGCGGACGGACGAAGCGGGTTGAGCGACAAATCCAGCGAACAAGGCCGCGACCTGGGCAGACCGCATGCGTGCGCGGAGACTTTGAGTGGGCTCGGTTCGCAGTCTGGAACAAAGCATCGCGTACGGGGGAGAAATATAGTGACTCCTCGTGCATCATATCTTCATTTCACTCATTATTTTTCATTGGAAGCAAACTGAAAGAAGAGTATAGAGAGGAAGAGGAAGCAGAAGGTATGTTCATCGAAATTTTTTTCTTTTTTTTTTCTGTGCGAATCATCATATGATTTCAAATCTAAGCAAAGGATGAAAGTTCAAATAAAAGTAAGAGAAGAAAAGGGTGGAGAAGAATTTGATATTTGAAATTCTTTCTTATAAAAAGTAAGTTCTTTAGTTGATGTTATATACTTTCACTTATCGTTTCTTTAGTTGAAGAAATAATAAGAAATACATTTTGATTTTTATGTTGGAAGAATTCAACTGATATAAAATTTGGTTCAACGGTGGAGGAAGGAAGAATTTCAAGGAAGAAGGAAAGTTTTAGTGAGGTTTTGGAAGGAATTAGAGCCATTTAATACTATGATAAAGGATGTATTCGAAATTATTTTTAAAGATGTTAGTCAAATCAATTTAATGATTTGCTTTGGAATTATTGTGGAATTATAAAGTGTCAAGTGCTAAATGATGAAATTAAAATAGTAATGTCAATAGTGAAAGATTTCATAATTAGAAGAGAACACTGGAAGCTTTTATAGGTGATAATCTTTTGACCTTGAAGGAAGAAGTACGAGTGTAGAAATTAAATCCCTTGAATCAAGATGAGTAAGCATGTTTCTATGTTACAGTAATTGTATTATTTCTAAAATTTCATCTAATTGTTATTGCAAGTTATTTACGTTACTGCATTGCAAATGAATCAATGATTTATCTCTCGCATATTAAATGAATTGTTATATATTAGTGCATAAAGCTTAATGTAAAGCAAAGTATTATAATATATGAATGAATATGATATAATTGATATATAGAATGGTTGCATGTGTATATTGAATGATAGAGCTCACTCCCTTATGGTACTAGCTGGGGACATTGTATTCGTGCACGTTAAAATGGTAAAGGTTATGAAAAATGATATGGTAAATGAGTGCCTTCATTGGTACTAGACGGTGGCTCCTATGACAGTGCTACTATATGTAAAAATGAGAAAGATATGAATATATATATGATGAAAGTAAATTGAATAGGATATGATATGTATTTATGATTTATACATATGTTAAAGTGTTATGTTTAAATGAAATATAAAATTTTAGATAAGAAATGAAAAGAAACTAGTGACATTAAGCATATTACTTCTACTGTCTTGAATTACTGTACTTTAGAAGCATGTGTTACTCGCTAAGCTTTGGCTTACTGTTGCTCTAACTTTTCTTTCATGTAAGTTTAAAATAATCAAATGAGTAGAAGAGACAGAAATGTGTATCATTGGCGTGAGGCACCTGAAGAAAGGTATTTAATTTATTTTATATATATATATATATATATATCAATTTATACATTTAAAGTTTAGTAGCTCTTTCATTGAACTGGAAATAGATTTAGTTTATGATTTTATCGTCCGATCATCTGTTCCCGCCTCATTAATTCAAGCCCCCGGGCGAGGTCGTGACATTTTTCTCTTCTAATTCTTTCCTTCTTCTCTTCTTCTTTTCCACATATTCCCTTCTCTATTTTATTATGATGAGGCCCTTCTATATTGAGAGCCTGCTCTTCTTTCTCCTTCCCTTCTTTCTTCTTCTTATTTCCATTTCCTTTTCCATTTTTTTCTCGTTTTCTTATACTGAGAGCCTCCTTCCTTTCAGATTTGTTTATGCTTCTAGTTATTTATAGGGAGTAGATAAGGATGAGATGGATACCAGAAATATTGGATTAGATAAGCTTAAGTGATCAGCAATTTAATTGAGTAATTATGTAATTAAACTATCCTATAGGTTATCCTCACCATCAATTTGTCAATTTATCCTTGCATGCATATAATTTTGGAAATTTTCATTTTTTTCCTACAATACAATAATTTTGCAACAATAACATTAAATAAACTTTTGAAAATTAATTTATCAATACTACTCTACCCTAATTATGTCTATCTTTCTACACATATCAAAATGATTGAAATGAAAATAAAATAAAGATAAAAAAATTAAAAAAAAAAATCAAAATGATTGAAATGGAATGTAGAATTTTATAAAAACAGATATGTTGATTCCAAGATGAGGGAAGAATGAGATATATTATTTTAGAAGAAAATTGCATCTCACCTAGTTGAAATTTTGGGTAGTACATGAAATATCTCCCTTAATGCCACTAATTAATATGATTTATGCATTTTCCAAGCTTCTATTGAATGAACCAGCTTATTTAAAATGAACTACCTTACATCATTAACTAAGTGCTTGCATTAATTATATATTTACAAAATTAATAAAGTAAATTAATTAATTTCCTATCATCTGTGATCTTGTAATTAACCTTCTTGGAGCTTCCTCTACTTGTCCTACATAATAATATTGAGCCCAAAAGAAATTTCCTTCGTAGACTGCACAGTTAAATCAATTAATCTTCCATAAGTTCTGATCCAAACTTTTGTAGTTCTTCCTTTGTCAACCGAGAGCTTTCAAATGGAGGAGGGTTCCTTCATCTTACTAAGAATTTGTGTTTGTAGGGTGCCTCATCATATTCAAGATATATCACTATTTTATTTTAATTGTTAATTATTCCTTACATTTGTAACCTTCCTCCCTTTATTGGATAGTCATGTGAGTTTGGTAACTCCCCGCCATTGAATCTTTCATGAAATATAGTTCTCAATTTTAAATTAGTTGCAACCTCCTCCATTGAAAAGACGAAGCATCTCTTTTAATGCTTCCAATTAGTTAGTTTCATGAATAATCCAAGTTTCTACTAAATGAAATGCAAATTTAAATAAATCAACTTAAACAAATAATGAAGTTTTTGTATTAATTATAATTAATGAAAATTATTAATTAATTACTTTTTGTTTCTGATCTTGAAATTGATCTTGTTGAAGCTTCTTGTGATTGTCCTGCATAACTTGGTTCTATGGATTTAGTCTCTCCCCTATTTTAGTTAAACAATGCAGAGGTGAAGCTTACAAGATCAAACCCTGCTTGAGCATATGCTGATATGATTAGCCAACACAAGCTGAGACATTGTAAAGCTTAGTTAAACCTAGTCTCAAAGTGCAGCAAAAGTAAAAGCCAACAGTTTCATGTAATCAGTAACTTTTCTCCTACAGAAACTCCAAATAAAATCATAATAGAACCATGTAGCCAAAAAGTTCAATATTACCACATCCTGCTAAACAATATGAAGCAGATTCACGTGTAAAAAGCCAGTTTCTAACATTCAAAACACTATATATACCCAAAATATGAAGTTCATAGTCGAGAGACAAGGTTTATACATTGTGATTCAGTCAAGGATCTAAAAGTTTCTTGCGTCATCTAATGTTGTGCCATTAGGCATGCCCAGATAAAAAAAGCCAGCTATAAACCCTGCAAATATACATCTATATATTTGCATACATAAAAAATGTGTATCAAAAAACATAGAACTATAAAGACTAGAAACACCACTACACATAGAGCTACAGAAACTCTACATACCATCTTGACATTTATGGACGGTTGGTATCGGTGAAGAACTCCGTGATTTCTCAAGGTGGTCATCTGAACACTTTAATTCCCTCCTTTTCTTGTGAATAAGTATTAACAGAATTAGCAGTAAGAGAACTGCTATTGTTATAATCACAACCCCAACTGCTGGAATTAGTGTTAGCAGGTATGAGTGCTGATGTTTCTTGAGAGGCGTGTCTGTTACATTGGTTATGTTCTGAACAGTGCTTTGGAAAGATGGCGGACTTGGAGGAGAATTAGGCCGTGGCACTTGAGAAGATAATCCTAAAAAGTTATCACGAAAATCATAGACAAGGTTACATAAAAGGAATTTTTACAAAAACTTAAAAGAAATCTACAACCATGCAAGTAGGCGATGGTACTTGAGAACATGATCCTAAAAAATTAACAAAAACACCAAAAATGTTATAAAAAAGAAATATCAACAAAAAAATGCAGAAATGTACAACCATGCAGGCATTTAGATTCAGTGGATCATTTAATTTACTATTCTATGAAAAAAGATAAACAGGGTGCAAGGGTAGTATATGATAGAAGGGAATCCAAACGTATTCATGAAAGATTAAGAAACAAAATTGATGCATCATCAATTTATATTAAGCAGATAAAATTTTAAAAATTCCATTAACTGGTGTGCCGTGTGTCATTCTACAACAGTTTATTAGGTTATCCTGCTTTAGGACATACAACACTTATATTAAGAAGATAGTACCAACTTGAATAAACTCAAATTTGGGACAAGCTCTACAAAGATTTTGACAAACAATGTATGCTATATACATCAATAACCATATCCTCCTGATAATTGCTCTGGTTGCACATATTGAGGTTCATGTTTTTAAGAGTACTAGATGCTAGAGGAAAAGGAGTGCTGTATACTAGAAGCAAAAGTAAAGGAACAGGAATCTGGCACACCCTATAGGACTGAGATTCAAAGGTATCATATGCTAATGCAGTTAGGTTCTTCAGTTAAGTGCATTGACAAGAACAGATAATAAACACTACAATAGTTGAGTTACAAAGTACAATTAAATTTCAAGGAGCACTCCACGGAAGTGAAGTTGATTATTTGGTATACGAGATGTAATTTGTATATAGTTGGGATTAAGATGATGATGATGATCCGACACACTACAGCATATATTGAGATACAATTCGACTAAATAACAGCAAGCCTGGGTGATGGGTGGTCTAACACAGGCTGTTTCTTAATGCTTGTTTCAATTATTCATAGTTGCATTTTAAACTACGTTTTTCATTACATAATCTACAACTGGATCTGGCTCTACCAGAGGCCGCTAAGGAAGCATTAAAGCTGAATTAATCTCTTATTCATCAGAATTTACTCTTGGGAATGCAATTAGCTTAGCAAATAATAGATCATCATAATGAAATAACTCATTTAGTAAATAATTAAGTTATTGGTGTGAAATGCTTGCATATGGATCCAAAGTCACCAAGAATTCCACCCTCCTTTCACTTTGGATGACATTTCATTGATCTATGGGATCCCTATTACTTACACATCAATCAATAGACTATTAGGATTATTTTGCAATTATTGTTCGTTGATTTGTATGTTTCTATTAGAAGCCCTGTTATAATTGTAGAAATATAAACAAATATTGGAATGAAATACTTAATCAATTCAATCCAATTCTTAGCATGATATCAGAGGCCTTGGCTTTTTCTATTGTATTTACATTACTGCAACCTTTACCACTATATTATCACAATCCTGTGGCCTTCATTGCTGCATATTTTTATATTCTCTTATTTTTATAGAATTGTTTTATTCATTGTTGCCTTGTCACAAACATTTCCATTGTTGCAGCCTTTATCATTGTATTATCACAAACTGCTCCCATTGCTAAAGCCTTCATCATTGCATTGTCACATTTTTTTTCTCTTTTTTCCTATGAATAGAAACACAGTTTCCCTCTATGGACTATTATAATACCCATACACCTTTGAACTCAGATTCTCATGAAATTGACAAAAGAAATAGAAACTCGTCAAGAAATAAAATAAGGAATTGGTAATGTTATTATATTCAAAAAGTTCAAAGAGGATTTGTGTTAAACCGGTCCAGAGAGGACCGGTCCAGCCGGCCCAAACCAGCGGGCCGGCTCTCGTTTACCGAAGACGGAAACGAGCGGCACAGGAGGCGGAAGCGACAGGGAGGAAAATCGGTGGGGTCCATTGAAATTCAAATTGTTCTTGGAGCCAAAAGGAGGGGAAGTGAGGGTAATTAAGTCCTTTTGTATCAATTTTGAATTGTATGCATTAAGTAGAGAGTAAAGGGGAAGATTAGGGTTATGTGTTATTGTCTTGAAGCTTCTCTTGTTTTCTCTTGTTGATTTGGGCTCTACATCGTATTCTAGAGATTGGGGGAGTGCGATCCTCCTCTCGAATAGAGGATCCTTGTATCTTTGCTATTCTTCTTGCATCTATTAGTAAAATACAAGTCTTTTATCCGTGTTTCCTGCAGTTTTTCTTTGTTTTTCCTCAGTTTTGGGCTGTTTAACTGCTGTGGACAGCAGTTGTTCTTGAGATTTGTTGCCAAAGTGATTAGGAAATACTTGAAATCAAGTATTTCCTATCAATTTGACTCTTCGAGCATAAATAAAAGAAAATTATATGGGTTCTATAGTTGACATGATGTCAACTTCAGAATATTGTACATTCTTAAAAGACAACAATGTGACTTGTAGGAAAAAAATAAAATGAGGTAGTAAGATTTAGTGCAAAAACCAATTTTAGATCTATGGCATTGGAAATCATTGAATTGTTACAGCTAAAAATTAACCTAGAAGATTTAAAGGTTGAATTAAAAAAATCCAATGAGGTTCTATTATGATAACAAGTCGGTCATTAATGTCGCACGTAATCCCATGCAGCATGAACGTACAAAGCATATTAAAGTTAGACATATTATAAAAGATAAGTTTAACAATGGTCTAATATATACTCTATATGTAACCAACTTGTTGATATTCAAATCAAAATATAATTAGGCAATTTTTAAAAAATTGTCAAGCAAGCTTAGAATGGATGACATCCATTCATATGCTTAAAAGGGGCATGAAACATCAGCATAATTTACGCCAGCTAGGACCCATACTCAACATGAGTTCCGCCCTCGTTCCTTCCTCTTCGATTGGCTTCGTTGATCCGTGGGATCTCTACTACCTACCCATCAATATATGGACTTTTGTATCATTTTGTAATTATTTTTTTCATTACTTTGCATGTTTCCTATAAAATCACACCATGATTAAATAAATAGAACACAAATGTTGAAATAAAATACTCAAAGAGTTCTTATCATGTGGGAATACATATTCCTAGTGCATAAATTTCATATTTGGGGCTCATAAATTTAAAGTGGTATACACCACAAGTATAGCCAAAGGTGTCAACATCCAACTAGTTCATGGCTTGAGAGTTGGGGCACTTCATAGCCATGTTGCTTCTATCAAGTCAATATATTTGTTAAAAAAGCCAATAGATCTTAGGATTCAGGGATATGAGTCAGATTACATATGTACAAAGTCCTCTTCATATGGTAAAGCTTATCATCCTCAAAGAAGTGTGTAGCAAGTGCAATCATAAGTGGGTAATAAAAATCGCTACTCAGCATGTGCAAGCCTCAATGGCATTGTGACCATGAAGAACAAGCAGCATGTACAATACCTAAATTTTTCAAAAAAGTAAGCATGAATTTTCCTCAAACTTTACCCAATTTTATCATACCTCCATAAAATATCAAATATATTTGCACTAAATTCTATTTTTAATTTCAATCATTTTGATACATATAAGTAAAAGCCAAAAGGATACAAAAAGAAATATATATGTATGCATTTCGCTGATTGATATTATTAAAAATTAATTAACTAATTTTCTGTAGCATACAACCATTTAAAACTAATTAAATGCATTTTACTGTAGCATATCCACTAACCCAAGCATGCAATGGGCTGATTGTTGGGAGCTGCATCATGCGTCTGGGAGTGCTGGGTAGTGGAATTGTAGTGGAAATTTTATTAGTGCATATTATATTAGCAAGTTAAGAAGTTAATTAAAAGCATTTTTCTTCAATTCCTCCCACCCGCTAGTCTATAGAAAAGTCGAAGGAGCAAGTTCCTAGGAGCTCCAATCACAAGCTGCACATGGAAGCGGGGTTGTTGTGGGAGAAATTATAGAAAGCAGTACGGTAAGAAATAAAAGAGAAGAGAAGGAAAGGAAGAGAAGGGAGGAAGGAGGTTAGGAAAAGGGAAAGGAAATTTGAGTTGAATGAGGAGTTTTATTGAGGTAAAAGTTTAAGATTTTTCATATATCCTGGTATTTTTATTTGAATTCATGTATAAATAATAAAGTTCATTCTTCAGGTTGTTTATAAAAATAAAAAGTGGTCGGGATATTGTAGAAAAACAAATATATCCTCCTACCCTAGAGAATGAGGTAAGATACCCAATTTATAGTATGGAAAATGATAGCATTTTTATATAATTGTGGTAACATTATTCCCATATTAATCATATTATATGTAATTGGTTCTTTTAAGTTCATCATTAGCTGAGTTACTGGATATACAAATATATATTTTAAAAATGTGAAGCTTTATGAAAAGGTAAATAAAAAAGTAAATGAGAAAAATCATATGTGAGGGATAGCCCCGCAAAAGTAAAGACTAAAGACCTGATAAGGACGCCTTAGGGACCATACCGAAGGTACCCAACACTATCTCTATTTGAAAAGTTAAAATTTCGGATCCTACCTTGAATGGGAGAGTTGCAAGTGTTCAAAAGTCAATAATCATCATATGACTTGTCTGAAGTATTGGAAGATAAACAATACAAGAAATATGTGAAAGTTAAAGAATACACATTGATTGGCACTGTTGTATGCATTTATCCTTTACACAATATTTACAGTTGAATGTCGAATATTGTTTCTTTTTTCATGTACTAGAATTATATATTTCAATGAGTTTTAGCTCACCAGCAGTGGTTGTACTGTAGGAAAAGGAAAGGAGCCCGGGCTCTAGGCAAGAGGGTGATTACATTTTGGGTACATTAGTTTTGGGTTGTACATAGAAGTAAGAGCATTAAGCTATATAATAAGACATTTGGGTATATAAACTTTATTTGAAAATTTAGAAAAGCTTTGTATTTTATTTGCTGTGAATATACTTTCAAATATGAAATGTGTAGATAAATTACAAAAATTGAAAATTTTATTGTGTTAGAATGTCTAAATAGATTGTTTCTTACCCACTCTATCCTGACGGAAGTAGTTCAAGATGGGTGTTAGTAAGAGATGTCTATCGGAATTCTACCTATTTATTATACTCCAAGTTGACTAAAAGGAATCAAAATCAGGTGCGACAGCATGATCGCCTCTGTAAGAGTAGCAAAGACTTTATTTTATACCAAAAAACACAACAATAGAAAAACATTACAAAAGAAAACCTTAACCCTCTTAAAAAAATTAACTAAAATTACAGGTAGGGACGAGTTGAGCCGAGCTCGAGTTTGGGCTAACTTGAGCTCAGCTCGTCAACTCATAGATGAATGGTGAGCTCAAGCTCAGCGCGCCAAATTTACAGTGGGCTCAAGACCGACTCGTGAGCTTGCTTCATCGGAAAAGGAGGTCAGGACGTCTAGTCACACGAGTTGTAAGGGGCTTAAGCTCAAATCGTAAGGTTGGTTCAAAGTAGGAGGAGGTTAGGATGCCAACTCGTGAGCTTTGCTTGTCGGAGAAAGGAGCAAGTGAGGATGCATAATCACCGAACTTAAGGTCGAACTCGTTGGGAAAAAAATCATGAGCACATGTAGCGACCAGTTAGAGAAGAGTTGTTGAAGATAACGGCCTTGTTTGTAGGAGAAGAGAGGAGCAAGTTTTTTTTAAAAAAAAACAAATAATATTTTTTAAAAGCTGAACAAAAGCTAATAGTTGCATTTATTGCATTAAATGCAATTAATATTTTGTAGGTTTTTTGGTAGTATATAGAGAAATAGATAACGTTTTTATTTTTTTTTAATAATACAGCTTTTTGATTTTTTTTTATATTAGTCTAACTGAGCAAGCTCGCAAGTCGACGAGCTGAGTATAACCAAGCTCGAACTCAAGCTCATTTAATATGCGAGCTCGAGTTTGAGCTCAAGCTTGAATTTGAAACTCGATAAGCTCGACTGTGAGCTCATTATCAAGTCGAGTTCGAGCCGGCTCGACTCATTTACACCCCTAATTACAAGAACAAAAAATAGGTGAATCATTTGGTAATCCAAATTGTTAACTGGAGGTGTAAAAAATTTACCTGACCAACCTATCCAAGCCAAACAATTAAGGTTCTAGTCCAAAATTCTAACCTGTTTATTATACAAGTCGGTTCAGGTTGACTTGTGAACCCAATTTTGACTTGAAAATTACCCATTTATTTATTTTCCTTAAACTCTTTTCGTTGTTGGTATAATCTCCTTTTTTTATCAATTTAACAAAATTCTATAGTTGACAAGTTATAAATTTTGTTTAATCAAACCAAATTATTGGGTCTAGTTCAGTTCATCCAGGTTGCCAGCACATTGGATGTGGGTCTATCATTTTGACACGTTTATTATAAGGGTCAATTTCAGGTTGAATCCCAAAACATGACCATTAACTCATTTTGACACTGATATGGTTAATAAAGGATGCTTTAGCAGTTAAAAAACATAAGAAAATTCCTCCTTGTTTACTTGTTTTCTTAATCTTCCAGGAGAATAACATAGCTCAGACGTTAAAGCACTACAAAACAACCTTAAGTGGATTAAAAGATTATAGGCAGAAAGGCACATGAATATAAACTGCAACCTAAAGAAATATAGGAGCAATGCCATTATAAAAGATAATTTGAACAACAAAGTTAAAGATATACAAACTTCTCACAAACGTACTTGATGATTCTAAGGAAATCGCAGAAAGCATGTATACCAAAAATTATTGCCACATCTGTGGTATAACTAAATTAACATGTTGGGAACCAGAGTAGAAAAAACGAACAAAACATATACTAAGTTCATGCACGGAGTAAGTCTTCAAAAGCAATTATACTTCAAATTATTGTACCCGGGAGGTTTCTCAGCCTTTGTAAACCAAAAAAGCAGCTGGCCATGTCAAAAGCAGACACCCTGCCACCTTGGGTCACTAGGACAACAAAAACTGCATCACGACACATACTCAATGCAACATTATTGTCTGGGCCTAAAAGACGGTGAAGATATAAAATGCCAGAGTTTAAACACCTCCTGCAATTATTTTCTAATGTGAGCGGCATCTCACAGTTAACAATGACATCACCGAAGTCAGGAGACTGCATCATCTCCAACACAGTTCCTCTTCCACTGCACTGATAAGAAACTTGAATCTTCGGGCCCAGGCCACAGAAAACTGTAGCACGATGCGGAATTCCATGCAAACCAAATGTCTCAGAAACAGAAGTAAGGCAAATCTCAGAGAATGCTGATGGAACCCCTAGCTTGCCCGTTTCATTAGCATAATGTGCAATGGAAATTGTAACAAAGGCATTAATGTAACGGCAGCATTGTCCCCTCGCATTTGGATCTGAACAAGCAGAAGTTGCCAAGGTAAAATTTGCCCAGCTAAAATCCAGAGGACAATCTGCTCAGATGAATGAGCATTTAGCATGCATAAGACATTAATAGTTATTCTATAAAAGCAGAAATGAAACCAGATAAATACAGAATTATGAAAAAAAGGAAAATCCTATCTAACCCAAAAAAAACACAGATCACTTGAGATTCCCACATTCTAACAAAAGATATATAAATAAGTTTTTTTTTATGAACTTCTTTCTGTAAATGCAGAAGATATATAGCCAAAACACATATATACATAAAGAAAGTAAAGTGAACTGGCATTAAAGAATCTGTAACAATCAATAGAAAGGGTGAGAGATCAACCCTCACTATCCTATTCTCACCGGAGATGATACTAACTTTATCACTTCAATCATCACTCTTCAACTTACACCGTCGCATTATGGTTAGCAATTTATGAGAACATACAAACTGGTCCACTTAAGAGAAGGAAGCATATCCCAATGTTTTTCAATGTGGTAAAATAAAGACTCAAAAAATAAAAGAAAAGGACGGACCAAAAGAGAGAGAATATTCAAGAAAGAACCTAGGAGTAGCAAGAAAATAAAGAGGTTCCCTCTCTTTGAGTCAAGCTCATTAAGTCATCCTTAGTTTTGCTTGATCTAAATCTTCCCTCTTCAAAGAGAGTCAGCTGTAGTCTTATTCATAATCTTGGCTTTTTTTTTTTCTTTGGGATTAGTTATATACAAAAAGAAAAAATCAGTATTAAGATTTCCCATCATAAAGGCCATCTTAAATCTCTACACAAAAAGAGTCGATCATTATTATCCTTTCACACTTCACTTTAAAATCAAGGCGTTCCCACAACTTTTAGGCTAAAGGCTTGTTGGTGTTGCAAGAAGTAAAGCCATCAAATAATTTGATGCAGCACTAACATATGCTTATTGTCATCATCCGAGCATTGCATCAAGACTCCAGATAATCATCAATATTACCCATCTAATTAAAACAGAGAAGAATGATCAAGACTTGGCTGGTCCTTACACTTAGAAATTCAACACATGCTTCAAACCACACGCCACTCTACTTTCTATATATGCAACGGCAACTTTTCTTCCCTCCAAAACATGTAATGGAAAAAAATTCAAATCAACCTCCAATAAATTTGGCAGAAAATTCCAATCAAGATTGCAGAATTGTTTGTAATTAGAATTACTCACCTTCCTTTTATGACTTAACCAGAAATTGACATGCGAAATTGATGTATTTTTTTTCTGCTTTAGATAAAATCAACTAATGTATAATATTTATTATTTTTTAATGAATACTAGATTTTTCTTGTGAGCAAAACCTCTTGAGGCTGCTTCATGGCTGATCCAAACCCTTGGGACTTTATTGACTACAAGGTCTATTTTTTGTGTTTTATTCCTAATCCCCACTTGTTCGCAGTTTGCATATCATCCCATAATCCTAAACCCATCGCTACTACTTCATGTAATAATTGGTTCAGCCGGTGCCGGTTCAAATGAACTGGCCCCAGCAGAAGGTGAGCGAACCCGTACAAAAAAAGGACCGAACGGACGAACTGGACGGGCCACACGCGAGCGGGAGTGCACCTAGCGGGTTTGGATCGCATGTTTGAGTGAGGAAACATGTACGAGAGTGAAATGCAGCGACTCCTCACGTGAGATAATTTCTTTTCACTTCATCCAGTTCGACAAATGAACGAAAGAAACTGAGAAGGCAGCAACCGAGAGGAAGAAGAAAGAGAAGAGAGGTTTGTTTATCATTTTTTTTTTGCAAATCATTTCGTGATTTTTAATCTAAACAAAGAGGAAAGTTTAATTAACTGCAAATGAAGGAAATTGGGAGAGAAAGAAAAGAAAAAATAGGAAGGAAGGTAATTTTGGAAAGGAAGAAAAGAGAGCATCCATTTCCTACTACGGGAAATAAAAAAGTTATTTAAATTTTATTTAATTTAGAAAAGATAAATGCATAATTTTGCATTTATTTAAATAATAAATTAAAATTATGTCAAGAACAAATCACATTAGTGAGTGGTGAGTTTCAATTCAAAAGAAAGGAAGAAATCTTTATTCAAGATAATTAATTTTAATTTATTTAGAGTTTTCAGTAATTCACGAAATGAAAAGTTAGAAACTTAGAAACTTTCAGTATCATATAGATGACACTCAATTCATTTGAAGTTTGCCTTAAAGATCAAATCAATTCAGAATTATTTAGAAGACGCGTAATTTTGTAAAGTTGTTCACTGCTAATTAATGAAATTAAATCTTAATATCAATAGTGGAAGATTTTCCTAGTTGAGTTGAGATGGGAATTGGAAGTCTATTTTACATAATTGAAGATTTGAAAGGATTTGAACATCTAAAAATAATTAAAGTGGGTAATTACTATTATTTTATAGCCATTACATGATTCTTTTTTATTACATACAGTCCCCTAGCTATTTATTTAATTAATTATAAATGTTTGAAGGTTATTTTATTCATAATGATGAAGCTAGATATTAAAGTTACAATGTTATATGTATGTGTGTGTGTGTGTGTGATGAGCATATGTGGATTAAAAATACATGCAAATTTAAAAATGTACATATATTCTTTATAAGGCATATAAAGACAAATGAAATGAATAAATAACTTATAATATATATACAAAGAAGAATTAAAAAGAAAATATAAATAAAAGGAAAAAGGTGTATGCATGCAAATAAAGGAGTTCACTCTTTATGATACTTGATGGGAAACATAACTTATCCTTGCACGTTAAATGGAAATGGTTGTACCTTCATTGGTACAAAATTTAATTGGTGTTTTTGTACTAAATAAAAAAGCGAAGAGAAATAAATGGAAAATAAATAAATGAAAGTGAAATTGAAATGCAATACATTATGTAGCAGATATCTACTAAGGATTAATACCTCCAAAATGTTATATATATATATATATATATAATTATGCCATAACCTTAGAAAAACAAACTATTTACTGCTAAAAAAAACCTAAATCAAAGAGATCTCAAATTTCAGCCAAATTTAAAATGTCCTAACCCTCGAAAAACAAACTATTTAATGCATACAAATCAAAAGGAAATCCCTAACAGTCCCTACATTCAAATTTCCCTGCCAATTCCCTCAAAAAATCTTCCAAAATTGCTCCTATGGACCTCACGGCATACACAAAAGGCGGAGAAGTTCCGCCTCTGTTGCGCTGGGCCGGTCCCGTGTGAACCGACTGGACCGGTATAACAATACTACCCTCCCAAAGATCCACCTTGTCCGCAAGGTGGAAAGACGACCCCCTCCTCCATTCCTTCTTCATCACAAACGGTAAGAATTTGAAGAGTTCAATCCTTACACCTGTGCCCCGACGTATACCTCTCGTCACATCTGAAACAGATCACCTTCGCCCTCTTCTCCTATAATTATGTTTTTGTGAGCTTCTTGAAGTTGTCCTCAAGTCTTCCTCCTGTAGTCTTCTCCATTTAAGTCTCCCAAAGAGTACCCGGTATTGATTCCTTGGATGTCAAAAGGGTGTCGGACATCCTGTATGAGCCTCCTAAACTGCTGCCTTCTGCTCCTATTCCTAGGTGCCCCTGATCATCCACCAATTGAGCTAGCTCCATAGACTCTCCTAAGTCCCGAAGTCTCATCACTTTAATTGTTGCGTGGATCTTGGGTTTCAGTCCCTTCATAAAGTTTCCCCCTAGTACAATCTCTGGAAGCCAATCCAATCAACTGGTAAGGTACTTAAATTGCGAACGATACTCCATCATTGTCCCCTCCTGCATCAAAGGAAAGAACTACTCGTAGAAGTCCCCTCCCCTATTGGTTTGGAAACATTCCAATAAGCAATCCTTAAACTCCCTTCAGGTCCTTATTGGTCGTCTCGTATCCCTTCACTGGTACCATGCTAAAGCTTTTTCTTCCAAACACATCTCAACTACCATCAGTCCCTCCCCATCCATCAACTTGTTTATGGTAAAGTATCTTTCCACCTTGTAGATACACTCATGGGCATCATCTCCCTCAAAAATAGGCATCTTCAGCTTCATCACCCTCAGATTGCCTCTGTTCCCTTCATAACTTCACCTTCCCCAAGGGGGTGGTTCCCCCCAAGTGTCTCAATCATCCATTCTACGTTCATACCCTAGCCTTTCTTCAAATTCTCACCTTCTCCTCTCAAATTCAGCACCCCTTAGATCATAACAAAACCCTCCGCTTTAAAATTCAGCAACCCCCCCCCCCCTTTGGTCATAATTACCCATTTTCCATTCCAATCTCGCCCCTCTCCTCTCCACATCAGCACATCGTTCTTTCCCCACCTCCTCACGCCTCTCCTCATACCATCTGCCCGGCTCCTCCTTAAGAATAGGCTCTAGGAGAGGTATTCTGTATACACAAAAATTTCAAAATAAATGTAAGCATATACTTCTTTTAAATGTTCATTTATTTCATTAAATTCTAATTTTAATTTCAAACATTTTGGCATATATAAGTATTTGAAAATATTCAATTACTTATATATGTATAACTCTTAAATACATAGCTATTTCATATTAACTGTTAAAAAAAACAACTTTTCAATAAATAGTTAATAGGTAATTAACTGTACAGTTATGTAATATAGTTTAATACATGTTGTAGTAGCATTTAGCCAAGCATGCAATCGGTTGATTAGATCCTATGGCTGGGAATAGCTAGATGGCGTTAGTGGATTTGGGATATTTCTATTAAATTGATAGTGGATAATAGGGTAGCAGGTATCAAATAATTATATTAAGCTTTTGTTTCAAGCCCTTTCCTCTTATTCCATTATCCCTACCCGATAGAGGCTCTTGCACTGAAACTGGCGGTGAAGAACTGGGTAGGAAAAATGCTAGTGTTGATTCTATAGGCTGCTGTAAAAGAAAATAATTCAGCAAACTAAGGTAAGAGATTAGGTAGAGGCTTTATTTAGTGGCTGAATTATACTGATGTTGGAATTAAGTTTTGTTTGCTAAAATTTGAAATAAACATGCTGATGTTTGCTGAAATATATCTGAAACAGTTGGGAGTTGCTGAAATTTATGGGCTAAAGTGGAATTCAGCATGCTGTTGTGTTTATATAAACAAGGGTTGTTGTAGTTCTTGCCTTCTTGGCTGAAAATAGTACGGAAAAGAGGTAAGAAGGTTGTTGTGGATGCTGTAGGAAAAGAAGACTGTTAAGGCTGCTGTAGGGGAAGAATTCAGCAACATTAAGGTAAGAAGATATAGAAGGTATAGATGATCTAGTTTGCAGTGTGCTGTAAATGATGAAATCATATAGGAAAATAAAGGTATTTTGCTGTAATTACTGGAAAACAGCATTTTTCGTCATTCCTCGCACCCATAAGCATCTCTGTTCGCTGATTCTGAAGGCAGCATGTGGAGGGGCTGAAAAATTTAACTGATTTTAGAAATCAAATAAGAGAGCAAAGGAAAGAGGTTGGATTGAATGAAGAAGGGTATAATTGAAGTGGTATACAAAAGGAGAAAGAATCAGAATACTTTAGGTGATTCAGTTTACCTAACTGTTCTAGAAGACCAGGTGAGATACCCAATAATGCTATAGGAATTAATAAATATTTTCTCTAATTACAATTCATATCTATTCATATCAAATATCGTTGATAGCATTTATTTTAATTTACTTTAGTTTATTCATGACTATGATTATTCATAAAATATTGATTATAATAGCATATGTCATAGGGGATAAAAATGATTGTTATTAGGAAAGTAAAATAAGTCATATATGAGGGATAGGCTCGCACAAGAAAGGGTGAAAGGCCTAACGAGATAAGTCTACACTCTCAATTCTAGAAGTTGAGAATTTGGACTCAACCTTCAATGAGAGAACAACTTCAATTCTAAAAGTTGAGAATCTTGATCAAACCTTGAATTGGAAGGCTAAAAGAGTGCACAAGCTTATAGTCATCATATGACTTGTTTAAAAATGTTGAATAGACAACAAGATGGAAAATAATGTTATGCATTTTTACTATTAGTATGGAAATGTTTAACCCATGTCATTATTTATTATGCATTTCTAGTATATTTCATTGAGCACTAGCTCATTTGTAGTAATTGTACTGCATGAAAAGGGAAGGAACCTGTAGGGCCTTAAGGGGTGATGACTATCATGCTTTTGGTTTACATACTTTTTGGGTGTGTATAAAAGTTCAAGTGTAAATTGTACAAAGATTTTTGGGTATGTAAGTAAATTTTAAAAGTTTTAGTAAAGCTCTGTTTAATTTAAGATGTAAATTTTATTTGAGGTATATCTTATATGTTTCTTATTATGAAACTCTTGATGTTTTAATTAGTTATATTAGGATAATTTGAATAGACTACTTTTTACTTATCTAATTTTAATATCAATGTTTCAGAATGGAGTAAGTAAGAAGATCTTTCAAATTATCCTTCTCTGTTACACTCTAGTTTAACTGTAGAGGGGTTTGCGGTACATATTCTCTCTTCCCCCTTTCGAGTCATCACCTACTAATCTCCCCTTTGCCATATGGCTTAGGATTTTTCCCATCTCCCTAGTTGTCGGCGACTTCCTTCCCCGTCGACAGTGATATTTTGGTTTGGCCTTCAAGCACTTTCTTTAACATCTCCTTCATGATGGAAAATTTCGAATCTAACTTATCATGGATGGCTGAAACATCTTTTTTTTAAATCTAAAACTTGAGTTTGGAGATATAAAACTTCAAATTTCATTTGTCCAATCTCTATTTCAAGGTGTTCCTCCAACCCATCCATTTTCTTAGCCGCCATTAATGCCCGAATGTTTTTAGAGATAAAAAGCTGAACTTCGACCTTCAAAAACAGCAATTTTATTCTTCGAAACCCCAAGAATATCTGCTGAAATTCAGCAAAACAGCCCACCAAAGGTCCCAAAAATAGCTCTAATACCAATTTGATAGGAAACAACCCGAAATAGCGGATAACAGAGCAGAGGTTCACTGAAATTTTACTGTCAACAGCAGTTTTTGCCAGAAATCCTGCTGTAAACAGCAGTTTTTGCCAAACCAGTGGGAAAATCAGGAAGAAAACACTTGAAATTCACTAGTAGAAGAAGAAAAAATTGCAAGATACAATTGATCCTCTATTCGAGAGGAGGATTGATCTCTCCCAAATCTCTAGATGCCACTAGAGCCCAAAGAAAACCTAAATCTAAGAGATCTCAAATTTCAGCCAAATTCTAGATGCCCTAATCCTAAGAAAACAAACTATTTAATGCATACAAATCAAAAGGAAATCCCTAAAAAGTCCCTCCATTCAAATTTCCCTCACAATTCCCTCAAAAAATTTTCCAAAATTGCTTCCATGGACCTCGCGGCATCCATGCCATGCGCAGGAGGTGGAGATGTTCCACCTCTGTTGCACTAGGCCGGTCCCGTGTGAACTGGCTGAACCGGTCCGATGGACCGGTCTAACACTTTCTTCCTTTCATAACGTGATCTAAATTGTCATCCAAGATATATGTATTTTTGGTATGATTTCAGCATAACCAGTTATTGTATAATATTTTGAGTATTTTTGTATGAATATTTAGCTTTGCTTGTGAGAAAAATCACGCAGTGAAGGTTGGTGGTTAATTCAAACCCTTTTAACTTTGCTAAGACCAACGCATTATCTTTTCTTTGTGATCTATTACTATTCCCCTCTTGCTTACAATTGGCACATCCTCCCACAGTCCTAGCCACCACCACTACTCCATAACCTTACAAGCATCCTATGAAAAATCCAAGACTCTCAATACCTTCCTCCCACCACACATCCAAAACCCTAAGCCTCTACTTCTTGAGTTTAGCCCTCACAACAAAACCTACATCACCAGCCCTCAAAGCATATTCCTACATCTCAGCCAAGGCCTTCCCTAGCCATTAACAAACCACCACCCTTCTACAAATATACTAAATTATCCCCACTCCACCTCTGCCTCCCAGCCTCATCAAATATTGCCACAGAAGCAAACCCAATCCCTCACCTCAACTATCCAAAATGCCCACGTTACAACAAAAATTCATCACTAAGCATTGATAGTGTTTTTTGTCATCAAGATCCTCCCACCAACATACATAAGCCTTGGCCATCGGAACATACATAAATCAACTTACATAGTGTTGGAAAGGAAAGGTGGTTCACCAATCACCTTCAAGGTGATGAGGACTAATGAATTACACGTCCCAAAGGAATTTGTAACCTGATTTCAGCTAGATGTTCAAGGATAATAGTATGCCCTTCAAAAGTTTGGTTATTCCATCAAAAAACCACCAAGAATGAGAAAGAAGTAAGAAAGGGAAGAAGATTATCAAAGTTTACTACATTGGATGGTTAATTAAACGCTCATAGGCTTTCATAACTTTCCAAACAAGCAATCAGTTGAGAACTTCTTTTTGAGCTCTAAGAAATGTTAAAACTAATTATGTCGTTAAGCAGCAAGTCCAACTTATACCAGAGCCTCTATCAACCAAACTCAAGTGTGGTGCTCAACCTCTGACTCTCAATGGAAAAGCCATGTTAACCCGTTGTCAAAAAGATTATATTAATATTGGAGACCAATATTACATTAGAAGCTCGATCAGCTTGTGAAGTCTTAGACTGATCGAACAGACTTCTTTGTTATGTAGTTGACAAAAAAATGTTCCGTACAATGCTGGTCAACCAACATTCTTAATCAAACACAGGTCGCACTGTTCTCGGGGCAAAGGTGGATGGAGCATTAATCCAACTCAGAAATTGGCATTTTCATCCAAGTCAACATAACTGAAAACTAAAGTTTTCCAAGCAATCATAACTTTTTCACATGAAAGAAACAGATTAGCCCTTCAATCATTCGTTGCGAATAAACTCCTTCCTCGGGAGAACCATTCTCTCGCCATTGTACTGAAAACATCCGACGGATGTACAAGTAAAAAAAAATTCATAAGGAAGAAACAACAGTAAAAATCACTAGTTAAGCTCCATCGCCACCAGGGAACAGAAATGATCGAATAACACAATACAGTTAAGCATTTTACGAAGAAAGCCACCAATGCTCACACAGAACTAAACCCCACTTAAGTCTCCCATCTAAAAAAACAACATCAAAAGATAAAGTTTTCAACTGAGAAAATGCCTTGTAGAAAGGCGGAAAGCCGTTCTTATTCACTCCATACAACATTGAAAGAGAACAGCTTGCCCTAATAAAGAGAGTGTGAATGAACTTACCACCAGCTATCGCAACCAGGCCTCCAACTTCCTGAAGAACGACCAAAAACAACAAGACAATAAACAGAGACAACATGAGAGCAGAGCCGATAGGCGGGGGCAGGAAGCGAGAAAGAATGCGAGTGTGTGTGTGAGAGAGAGAGAGAGAGAGAATTCTTGTCTCAGTGTTTCCGCCTACTTTCGATTTCTTGCTACTTTCTACTTGCTAGCTACTTGCGGGCAGGCAGTGCACCGAGCCACTAGCCAGTAGCCGCATTCAGGGCAAATTATTGCATCCCGTCAGAGCGGATGATATTAATAAAATATTATTTAAAATAAAATGCGTTCTTTAAAGTGCAGATAAAGTGCATATAAATTACAGATAAAACGCAAGTCAAAACGTAATCAAAATCACAGATAAAGCACAACTAAAGCGCAAGTCAAAAGCACAGTCAAGATATGACGTGGCAAATTTTTATTGGATGTCCGAACCTATTCTTCGTGTCCGGTGACCGAATGCAATAGTTTGCCCGCATTCAGACTTGCTTCCAGCAGAGAGAACGGCCACGTTCTACTCACTCGCGGCAGAGCCAATCTGGCAACAATTTATGTAGAGATTAAGGCCAAATTTGATAGGACATCTTTTTAAAACCGTAAATTTATTTCTTTAACTCTATTTTTTTTATTTTTCTGCTATTCCATTAGAATTTTTTTTTCAGAAATGATATTTCTTTTTTTTTTTTGGGACATTTAGGCCATTTAAGGCAAACTCACACACACAACGCATACACATAGACTCGAACCTTAGACCTCTTAATTGGAAGCCTTAGCTCTCAACCAATAGGCCAAGGAGAGTTGTGTGAAATGATATTTCTTAAAACTATCTTTTACAAAAGTACCGGATAATCAAACGAAGCCTAAAACAAACAAAAAAAACACATCCGGAGAGGTCCGCACCTAGTAATAAATTTTCATGTTTCTCGCCCTACTTTATAAAATAAGAAGCCTCAGTGGCAAGCGAGAAACGACAAAATTTTTATAAGGATCACAGTTGAAAAATGAATTAGAAGAAGAAGATAATTAAGTATTAATTATAAAAGGATCAAAAATATAAATAATTTTTACGTTTTTTTTTGAAATGAAATCATAATTTTAGTAATAGAGAACTATGTAGGCCCAATTAGAGAACTCAAATTTTCAAAGTTGTCTATTTTTTAACTCAATTTTTTGCCTTTTTCTGCCAATTTTCATCATCGCCATCGGCTCAATTGGAGAACTAAGTAGGCGGGTATGTATTAAGTGAAAGTTCGTGTAGATTGTTAGATCTTATAGAAGTATCCTAAGGAAAACCAAGAGGGGGGTGAATTGGTTATTAAAAAAAATTATTAGATATTTAAAAACCTTTTTAAGATCATTTTATAAAGTTAAATCAGTAATCCTGAAACATGCAGTTATTTCTAGAAATGACTACCACAGATGATTTTTCAACCACAAAATTATAAATACAGTAAAATAAAAATGCCAGAAAAATAAAAGGTAACGAAAGGACACCAAATTTTATAGTAGTTCGGTCCAACTAAACATGCATCCACTCTATGAAGACTCCTTCTCCAGGTATTGCACTAAATAAAAGTGACTCTCATTTTGCCCCCACACTAAGGTGGAGAAGCCCTTATAAACTCTCTTCCAATAACTCGGTATGGCAGATAACCGTCGTCTTTTACACTCTCTAAGTGATGGCTACGTACCGTCGCGTCCTTTTTCATCCTCTTAATGAAAGTAGAGAATTTTCGCCTTTTACATCCTCCAAGTGATGGCATCGTATATTCATGTATTTTTTTCATTCTTCTTATGAAGACAGAGAACCTTCATCCAATCTTGAATATCTTCTCTCAAAAGCCTCCAAAAAAGTTAGGTAGAAATTTAAAGAAGAAAAAGAGATCCTCACTTTGAGCAATCTTGTGAATCCCTTACAACTCCCCTTCACTAGATTTCCCACTCTTCACTCACAAAATCTCTCTCAAACACTCTCAAAATATCACTCTTAAGAGAAATTTGAAGCAAATGATGTATGAGATAGTTTTTAGGACTCTTTTATATAGAAATCATGTGAAAAATCATCCAAAAATTAAAATTTCCAAGAGAACCGTCATATGATTGTACTGTACAATCGTAGATCGTCTGATAAGAATAGTTCAAAAATTAGGGCTTCATTCGGTACAATCTAGTATGAACATTATTTTGTATAGTGTAAGTCGTTTATACAAATTCACATCGTATTATATGAAATTTGTACGAACAGTTAGAAAATAAACAAGTTCATTTGTTACGATCTAAAACAAATATAATTTCATACTCGATCAGTTGTATGTGCAAGTTCACATCGTACGATATGAACAGTTCAAGAAATAATGTAAAAGTTCAAGTAGGTTGTTAGACCTAATACAACTGTCTCAAGGCTAACCAAGAAGGGGGTGAATTGAGAATTTTAAAATTCTATTTGATTTAAGAAGACTGATTATTACTTTAACACAATGATAAATTTTCATAAAAATATTTTTTAACCACAATAATTTAAAGTTCACAAAATAAAAATGTAGTAAAAGTAAAAAATAGAAGAACAATAAATTTTATAGTAGTTTGATCCAACTAGACCTACGTCCACTCCCTAAAGACTCCTTCTCCAAGTATTGCACTAAATCAAAAGTGACTCTCCTTTTTCTCCCACAGTAAGGTGGAGAAGCCCTTACAAAACATCTTTTCCACCAACCCAATGTGGTAGAGTACCGATGTTATTTCTCACCCTTCTTATGATGGCAGAATACCAACGTCCTTTCTCACCCTCCTATTGGCGGCAGAGTACCAACATCCTTTCTCACCCTCATAGTGATAGCAGAGTACCAACATCATTTATCATCCTCCTAGTGATGGCAGAATACCAACATCCTTTCTCACCCTCCTGATGACGGTAGAGTACCGTGATCTTCTTTGAAAATCTTCTCTCAAGAGCCTTCAAGAAAGTAGGGAAGAATTTTGAAAAAAAAATAAGAGATCCTTACCTTTGGGCAACCATATGAATCCCCTCACAATTTCCTCTCGAAAGATCTCTCAATCTTCACTCCTAAATCACTCTCCCAAACACTCTCCTTCTCCACTCTTATGAGAAATTCACAGTAAGATATTGAGTGTCAGTTTTTAGGACACTTATATATGAAAGACAAGAAAAATCGTCCACAAAATTAAAAAGTTTCAACTTCAATGTACTCATATCATACAGTATGATAGAGGATCGTCTATACGAACAATTTAAAAATCCATCTACAATTATGTAAGAACATGATTTTGTACTTTATCAATTGACTATATGAACATACATCGTATTGTACGAACAGTTCAAAACTAAACAAGTTCATCCGGTATGATTATGTATGAACCTATTTTGTATATTATGAGTAGTCTATACGAACCAGACATCGTACAATATGAACTATTTAATCAAATCATGCTTCATTTGGTATGAATGTGGTTGACCCTATATCATACTCTATGAGTCATCTATATGAACCTAGCATCGTACAATACGATAAGCTCAAAAATTGATGAGATCATTTGGGACAAACTAGTACGTACCCATTTTATACTATGTGAGTCATATGTACGAAACATTATCATCGTACAGTATTAATATTATAAAAAAAATTTCCAAGCATGATTTGATGAACTTCATTTTGGAGGAACTACCATGACAAACCTTCCAATATGATTTAAAAATTGTATAATATGATTAGTTTTAAAATTTAAAGTTTTGACTCACTCCCCTAATGTGTGTGTGCACAATTACACTCTCTTAGACTAAAAAAAAATAGAAAAATTATATACTTCATTATAAGAAACCCTAATCTAATCTATATTGAAGTCTTCGGCAGCCTGGAGTATGATTTCTCTAAACTATTAGTACACACAAACAACACAAAGAAAATATATCCAATGTATATTAGGAGAAATAGTAATCATAACAATAATATTTTTGGTATCATCAAAAAAATCACATGATATAAAACTTAATCTTGAAATCTAAGTTACAAAAATCTCCCCATTTTTTTATAATGGCAAAATAATTATTGTTTGAGTTAACACTAAAAGTCATTTTCTCCTAAGCTCTCCCTCAATAAATGCTCAATTAAAAACAAAAGATTCCAATGAAAATCAAAATAATAATAATAAATTAAAAAACAAACCCTAAATAAATTTTGAAAATACGCACAAAACATAATAACAAGATTTAAAAACAAAACATACATACATAACAAAACACATACAATTAAATCACACAAAAATCATACACACATCAAACACACAAAAATCATACACACATCAAACACACAAAAATCATACACACATCAAAAAATTATACGCACATCAAACAATAACTAATGACTCCTACTCTTGACAAAAAAAAAAGAAAAGAACTACCTCTTGAAAAAGAAAGTTTCTATTGACAAATCTAATAGATGGTCAAGAAGAAGATTTTAAAATATTTGCAAAGACAATATTAACGTCCTAAAGCAAAAAAGGAAACTCTCATATTTTAAATCAAAGAATAATTAGGTTAAGAAAAATCAATCAGATTCACTATCTGTTTTAGACATATCAAATAAAAATAATTATTGTAAGATTGATGAAATAAAGATTGATTAGCTTCTAATTAAATAGTAAATATTATTATTGTTGATTAAATGGATTTAAATAAGAGATAGAAAAATAAAGGAAAGGATTGTATGAAACTTTTAATTTGTGATATTGTGCATATTTTCAATTTTTAACACACTTTGTACATCTTTTCAATTTGGGCTAAATTTTTCCTCTTTTTGTTTTGACAAACATTACGCATCTTTTTAAACTTTTGACACATTTTGTGCCTCTTTCAAGCTGGCATGCTCTATGCATCTTTTTATTTTTTAGTCTTTTTAATATCAATAAATCTTAAATCAAATTCCAATAATTAAAAAAAAATAAATACATTGAAAAAGAAATAAAATAAAAATAAGAAATCTATTTTGCAATAATTATAGCTAAATAATATTTGTCTATAAGAACATGAAGATGATCTTCTAATCTACATCCAACCATAATTTAATTTAAAATTTTGAAAAATTAAATTTTACAAGGAAATAATTTGTGGAACAAAATATTTTAAAACTTTATTCTATAAATCAACTACATTTGATTTGTTTATAAAAAATTAAAATAATTCAAGAAGAATAACTTCAACATAAGACAAACATCATTTCA